AAAAATTAAGCATGAATAAATCAAAGCACATTCAGTGCATTGTATCAGGATTCAATATTTTAAATCCATATCATAGGTATTCATCAGCATGGTATAGGGATCCACTAGGGCTGGCGGCTGATTTAAAGCAGATGAGATGAACAGGTGAGTTGACAGTCAACAATTCAACCTGGAGGCAGAGGTTTGCGTACAGCTCAATGACACACAGCAATGTGACATGCATTTCAACTCGTGACATACACTGACACTACGTTTCCATGACACGTCTAAATCGATTTAGTTGACATGATGGAGAAAAACCATTTGACAAAATCAGTTAAACTTGGCCCTTCAGGCAATGGAAACGTAGGTAACAGACAACACCAAGGCTATATCATATAGATATAGGTATATGATATATGAACCCACAACACCAATAATCTTTTATCATACCCTGTATTTCACCTCAGTCCAAGCCCCCTTTTGATCCCACTGGATGGAAGAGATGGACCTGGGATGGACTAGATTGAGATGAATCCCAATCCCGACTCCCGAGGGATTTCCGAAAAATCCAAAATAGGCGGGACTGCTCGTTGTGTGATGGACTTTGTGTTCAATCGTTGTTCAAGGCCGTTTTCAATGACGTTAGAATGAAACTACAAACATGTTGCTAGGCAACTCTCGATTTTAGCAGCGTGTTGCTGTATTTAAGAACAATGAAGGGCTCATATATTAAAACATCAAAGAGTAAAACGCATTGTTTTTTCATTTTTTTTCGAAAAAAAGGAGCAACATAAACAAATGATTGATTTGTCCATAGGTATAATTTATATAGATATTTAGTGTCTTTATTTCTATGGATTTATCGCAGCACTGATACAACACTAACCGTATTTTGTGTTCAATTACTTCCTGCTCAGACAAGGAACGCCCGTTGATTGGTTACATGTCACTGTCAGCAATGCAATCGCGGATCAAAAGATCACAGGCAAGGTGGCGGTAGTATTGCAAACATGACGCGTGTAAACAATCGCAAAAATCGAGCTCAACATCAGCGACCACTTGTTGAGCTGAGGAGGCGTGGAAGTTCTGGGATAAGGAAGGTGTCTTTTACAGGTGAGCGTTTCTGAAATACATAAAATGTACAAAGTTAGCTAAGCCTTCAGTATGGCGCTATATTCCACTCACAACTTAAACTGTCAACAGCTGGTCAGCTCAACAGCTCATGCTCAAACTATTACCTACATCAACTTTGATTTTGATTTATAAGTTGTGCCGAGTGGTTTTGAGCTTCACGAGCTTTTGCTCTTACTATTACCTTAAAAGATTGCCCCAGAGGGTATGCCAAATTTGGCAGCGCTACGCGCCACCGTTTTTACGTTATTTGCGAAAAACCTTGGGGGTTGGCATCAACCCCCCTGGCCCTGTGTGGGTTAAGCATAGCCTGCGCAAGCTATAGTCCTCGGCTGTGAGTTTTTTCACACAAACTAAAGGGCTTGTCTGTTGTCAACCTACATAGTTTTGCCTAATACTTGTGATTGGTACTGTTTGAAACTGTCATATCGTAGTTCAATTGTTCATTGTGCCAAACAGTGGTTGTTACTTGTTTGTGGTGTGTGCACAGAGTTACAAAGAAATGTGAATTTCTATCAGAATCTCTGGAAAAGCAGCTGCATAATTATTGTTATCAGCATTGATTGTTTTGTTTATTTAGCTAGATAATTCAATAAGACACATTCAGTAGCTGCATAGGCTAGGTACTCTATTTCATGCAGACATACAGTATTACAGTAGGTAATGCAGTAGTCAATAGGTTAGCAGTGGCAGCCATACCATGATTCAGATTGCTGACTGGCAAGTGGCAATAACAAACATCATCACCACGCCTTGTCATCACCAGTAAAAATCAAGAATACTTGACGTCTTCTTAGCTCTGCTAGCCTCACTTTTTGACATAAGCTGACAATCGCGAGTATTTCGAAATATTTTAACTATCTGGAAAGGCGCTAGCCATTCGTCAGAATCACTACCTAACTCGGGAGCCGAGTTGCAGGGGGCGCTACGCTCGCGGCGCCACCTAGCGTTCCGTGTGATTCACCGCCACAACACGGGCATAGGATCTTACCGTGCTGTGCTTACGACGATATCGTGCTTCTTTCTCGGGTTAGACAACGAGATTTACAATCTAATTTGTGTAATCTATCGACTGATATACCGTTTGTTTTTCTTTTACAATCGTTTGGGTGGAACCTATCTGCCCGCTCCGCTGTCCCGTCCCTTCAATCTATCACACTGGACAGCATCGAAGCCCGCTCAGCTAGGTTTCAGTTGTGCCGTCTCGCTGACAGGCACCGAAGTCCGTTCAGCTGGGTTTCAGCTGCGCTGTCTCGCTGTCCAGTCGCACCCGCGGCATGTTCAGCGGCCTGGGTGACCTGGCGCCGGCCACGCTGGGTGTCGGAGACGGCGTGGCTGTCACGGTGAGCCGCCGGGCCGGGGACACCGACTGGCCGCCCTCCCGGCGCCGCGCCTCCTCCTCCAGTTTGACCAGCAGCCGCTGCCGGCGCCGCTGCTGCTGCTGTCGCGCTGTGGCAGTACTGGGACGGCGGCTGGGGGTCAGATGGTTGGCGGAAATGGAGGGGTCGGCGGGGTCACGGTCGGATGTAGAGGGGTCGGACGGAGTGAGGTCGGTGGGGTCAGGGTCGGAGGTGGCGGTGTCTCCCTGTTGGTCAGAAGTAAGGTCTGTTTGTGGGATCAATTTCTGGTCCACTTTGAGCTCTGTGTGCGGAATAATATCCTTGCCTTGTTCCGTGTTCATTTGCTGATTGTTTCTTTTCGGTTTGACTTCTTTAGAGTCACTGGGGCCTGGTGTGTCGAGCTGATTGTTGGAATTCGGGTTGATTTCGCCAGAGGCATCGGTGGAAATCATTTCGGAGTAGCCCTTCAGAAGAGTCATTGTTCTGTTCAGCGGGTGTGACTTGTCACTTTCTTCGTCTGTCATGGCGAGGTTGTCACTGCTCTGTTTTCGCTCGTGGGCTCGTTGCTGAGTTTTCGCCATGTTCGGCTTTATTTTTGTTACCGGGACTATGCTACTGTTGGCTTCATATGAAGTCTCCTGTTGGCGATCTGGTAATTTGTCGTCTCTTTGGTTATTTTCTTCGGCATCCAACGATGCTACCTTTGCTGTATCGGATACAGGCTGAACTGAGTTCAATTTTGTTTTGCGAGTAGCATTGCGCCTGTATGATATTGGCTCTCTCTTGATAGTGCTGACTTTTAAGAGTTTGCCCTTTCTTGGGATTATTTTCGTCTTGAGTTTGGTTGAAGTCGTTATCTTGGCTCTGTCGGGGACATTCGGTAATTTTTGGTCTACCGTCGTCCTTTCCTTATCTACCAGCGGAATGTCTTGATTAGGCGATGTTTTGGACGCTTTGCTGGTAGTCACTGGTGCTAATTTGCTTGTTTGCGCTACAAGTTGGGCAAGTGACGCCCATTTACGACGAGCTCTCTTGTTTCTTCCGTTTTCCGTTTTCCCATATTTGCTGAGGTCTTTCTTTTCTTTTTCCACGGCTGCTGAGCCAGCATTATTTTGTGTTGGCATCCCTGAGAGTTTTTGCACCGGTGTCTTGTCCTCTGTTGGCCGCGGTGGCGATTTGGCTTCTTCCTTTCCGTTTTTTATCTTTGTCCTGTCTGCTGCTACTTCTCCACGACTTTGATCAGCTACTTTCGATTTATTTAACGTTGATCGATTATGACCTGTGTCCTTCAGATGCGGGTGCACCTTGTGTTGTTTTCCCGCTTTAGGGTCGTTTTGAATTCCCGATTTATCTATTTGCTGATATTTCTTCTCGGATGATGGCTCGCTGTGTTCCGTCACACTTGAATCATTCTTCCGCCTCTCTGTACCCTTATATGATTTATTCACTGTCGGCTTGGCAGGCTGCCTACCTCGTGTATTTAGCGGCTGTATCTGTCTATCTGTTGACTTTGCCCGATGTATCTCTGCTATTTTTGCCTGCTGAATGTTCTCTCTCCGGTCGGATGGTCTCGTTGTTTGGCTCTCAGTCGTTGATTTTGCAGGTGCGTACTGCTTGCTGCGATCTCTTGATCCCTCGTCTGGAGCTGCTTTGTTCGGCTTGCTAACAGTCTGAGAGTGCTGGCGATTTTGATGACCGTTAGTTGTATGCTCGTTTCCTGGATTTGCTGGCGAATGTCGCGGGCTCGCTTGCTTGCTTCGGGGGTGTGGGGCCTTTTTCGTCTTACCTGGCACTTGTAATCTTTGATAGCCTTGAGGTTCAATTTCATCCTCCCTGGCCTGTTTCTTATATCCTCTTGAGTTATATTGCGACTCGCTTCCGGTGTACTCGTTCTGTTTGCTTGTTTTGGAGGGTTGCTGTGTATTTGGGAGCTGCTGATGGCTACGATCAGTCGATTTCTCTCGTTTATCTTTACCGGGTCTGCCGAGAGTTTGTTTTAGCTTCTGTTCTGATGTCGGTTTCGACTTATCGTTAGATACCTTATCATTCCGGATCTCCTGCGATGACTGACGCTCTTGTGACCTTTCTTGGCGGCTCCTCCTATCGGGCTTCCTGAGATCATTGTGCGACAGACGAATTTTCTGCCTGCTAGCTCGACCAGCTTTTATATCTGCCGGTCTATGAGATAGGCTCTGATAGGTTTTCTGTTGATCGGCGGTGGTTTTCTTATCGGTGTTATTCTGTGTCATGACCTGTTGTACGACAGATCGAAACCCAGGCCGCATGGCACCCACACTGCGCTGTAGCTTTGTGCCCATGGTAGATGACCTCGGAGATATCCGGCAGTGCCAAATGTGCTTATCCAGACAGGTCGATATTAACGCTCATCCGCGAAGTTGCCCTCTCTTGACACTTGCATATGTGCTATTTTTTCAATCTTGCGTTACTCAGTCCTCTTCATATCACTGCTTCATTCACTCCACTCTGCCTTCTCTTCTTTCTCCTCCGTTTCTCTCTCCGTTCCTCGTCTCCCGCCGCTCTCTCCACTTGTGCGTCCCCCGGTGCCGTCGCTCGTCTCAGCCGGCCGCCCCGCCCCTCCTGCCACCGACGTCCCGGCGTCGCTCGGCTCAGCGCGGCGCCGACTGGCGGCCACTTGTGCCCGACGGACCGACCCGGTCGGAGACAGGTGTTCCTGCTGCACTCCTGACGCTCAGTGACGAGGTCGTAGGTCGTGCTATCTGGACATGGATCAGACCGCTGTCGCCCGCGATCGGTGAGCGGTAGTATCGGCTGATAGGATCTCCGGTGGTGATTGCTGGTGTGTGCTGGTGTCCGATTGTGTTGGTGTCGCGCTGTGTTGGTGTGTACCAGCTGCCGCAGGGGCAGGGGAGGTGGTGGGCTGGGCCGCCCAACTGATGGGAAGTGCGAACCAGCGCCGCATCGACGTACTGAAAGGTGAGACGTTCTTATGTTCGGGGTGGTGCTCATAGGGTTTATAGAGACTAAAGACTGGTTCGAGACTAAATGACCATGAAAAAATCCAACCTAGGTAGGTAAGATCACATACTGATACTCGTACATGGATGACATAAGGGCCTTGATGGAAGCCTAGGACTCTACATCTGATTGTGAAATGTTACGATACAAAAAGCACGAGTCGAGTCTCGGCGTCATCGAAGACTTCGGACGACCCGCACCGTGACGTTTGGCAACGTCAGTGCTATCGTACAGTTCTATCGTATGTGCCACACTTCGGCCGTCCGGCTGAGCTGATAAGGCAGGTGCAATGTCTGTCACTTGCCGGTTCTGACACAGCCTAGCGGGCCTCAGAACGTGGGTGGTTTTTCATCTGGGTAGGTATGATAGGAATGCGATTCTTCGGCGTAGTACGCGCATCTTTATAGCGTGACGTGTAGCATAACATATAACGTGCCGACTTTTCTGATGTTTTTTATGGCCTGGATGATTTGATTGCTGCTCATCGTTGGATGATGATATGAGGGTCATTCATGATCACTGATGACAACATCACCTTTATCATTATTCATTACCTTTTTCTTTTAGCCATCATTTTACGCATAAGACCGGAGATGGAATCCGTAAAGCACTTGCTCGAAAGCGCCCTCAGAAAGAATAGAAAGCTATCATGGAGTCCATGCTTCCGTTCTTGTAACCATGCAATTGTTCTAGCTTCATGCTTACGAAAATAATTGGAAGAACCATTCATTAACCCTCCGAATTATTGTGAAAAACTCTTGTATCCAGTGGCACCCTCCGTCCCCAAGTGTAACTCATAAATGAACTTCTTCCAAGATGTGTGCGACAATCGTATCCAATATCCATGCCCCGTTACCTCGCGGTGACTGCCTCTGCTGACAGCCTGACCCCCATATGTTCTGCGCCGGCCGGCAACTCTGCCGATTAGCGTGGGAGGGCGGCGAACTCCGAGGACTTGTCTCCGAGACTGAAGGTCTCCGATCTCGAGTCAGACTTGGTATTTCGACGCTACTTGGCTATTGCTTGCAGTCCTTTGGTCTCCGGCTCAATCAAATCAAAATTGTGGATTGCGGTTCGGTGGATTGCGATGCCTTTGGTGGTAATCGGTTCGGCAGCCTTTGTAAATAATATTCGCTCTCACCCATTTTGTGTCGCTATAGGTATGTTTCGGGATCCGATGAGGGAAGGTGATGTGGTAACTGGTTTGTCTTCACACCGTCACGGTGTCAGTATCGAGTCGGTGTGGATCCTGCTTGGCTTCAGACGTGACATCGCGAGAAAGATGTTTGTGTTTCCGTGAACAAGAAAATAGGAGCTAAGTGAATGAGTCGTATAAATGTGAGTCGGGCACGAAAACGGACACAGTGATGGAACACGAATTTCACACAAACACGGAACGAGGACAGGCAGGTGAACGGTGAACTGCACCCACCGCTTAGTCTGGGGAAAAAATGCGGATCATCTCGGGTACACTGGTCAGTCCCCTGAACCCCGACTGACCGCAGTGTGTCAACTGCATGCATCGGCCTGGGTCCCGACTCCCGATGCATGTGGCCTGCGGGTTAGTTCAGGTCCCGGCCCATGAATGGGCTGCACGGTCAATTAAAGTCCCGGTATCTGAAGTGAACTGCGGCCTATTCACTGAATCTGAACGCGGCTCAGTCCGCGCCCTGGACTGCGGTCAGTGCGCACCGCTCCGTCCGCCCAGTCGGACCGTCTATCAGCACGATTGGCCACTGGGCGAGATTGGCAGGTCGGCCGGCGCGGGCCGGGGTGTCGCTGTCGCTGTATATTTGATGCACCCGCACCCCGGGGGCCGATCGCAGCCGGATAGTGACCTCCCAGGGCGCTGCTCGGCCGCTGGTTATGGCGCGGCTGCATTATGCAGCAGAGTCCGGGCTGGGTAGGTCAGGGCAGACCTTACTTAGTGATTAGGTCATGGGGGACTGTCGGCATCCTCGGCAACTGAAAGCAGCGGACTGCGGGCGGTAAAAGGAGTTTTTAGACGTTATTTATTATGGATAAGTATGCCTTCAACGAGAGACTTCGGGCTATTACGATGCGTTGGTGTCGGTATTTTATTACCACATGCCTAGCTGGCCGTGGATTAATTTGCTAATGTGCCCTCGAATGTCATTTAAAGTGTCCTTATCTACAGGACGCATTATTGGATCAGTTTATAGGTACTTTATGCTAATCGTAGTGCCAGCGTCAATGTTCTGCTCAGCGCCAACATTCTTTAAAATAAGCCCATTACTAGTTACTTACCTGTGCTATCGATGCAGCTTGTCGGTAAAAAACGAGCGTACTTTATAAACGCCAGTGGCATAATTACAAAGCTTGTTCAGTGTCTTTGTGGAGGAACAGACGGCAATCTAATGTTGCACCCTTGCTGTACCACATTGGATATGACCGGCAGGGCACCATTAACGAGACGGTCGATCCTTATGAACCATTTTGTGTCATCAATTTTGGATATGTGAAGACATTTTAATGATAAGCTGATAAGGAAATTGGTGGCATTTACTGGATGGTCAAGGCTGCATAATTTACTGGTAATGTAATGTTTAAATTTTCCGCAGCTCACTAGCTACTCTGTTATTGGACTACCACTTAATTTCCATGGATGGGGTTTGCTGAACTATTATTCGGGGACATGGCCACGAGAAATTGACCTCAGATGGCTTTCGGGCCCGGTATATCTATACTTTATGAAGTTCGTGGGATGTAAACTGCCATCTGAAATCTACCGATGATAATTTCTTACACATGTTCAATATATTTTGTCATTTGTGCTCGTGACGTCTAACAACTAACCTAAAACATATTAGGTAAAATGACTTAAATATTTGGATAGGTATTCCCTCATCAGTGAAATCAAATATCACATCATCGCTTCGCCACCCATACAGAATTGCTGGTTGCCCTGATGAATGACCTTAGCGAACGGTGGTGTTCTGAGAAGACTGGCTAACAGCCGGTCTCTGCAGAACAGTACGGCTCGTTAGCACCCCGGCGCCGTGTGTCCCGCTTCCCCAGGCTCCATCACAGCTGCCGACCATTTTTGGATGATGAGAAATCCTAACAAACTCGGGAGAGAACCGTGATATAACAGTTTCCGTTTTAGGAACCACCTGCAAACGTATAAGTACCGTAAAGTGGGGCTATTTGAGACAGTGGGGCTATTTGAGACAGTGCGGCAGTGGCTTAGTAAAATTGCTGTAAAATTAAAACCGTTTGATATATTTGATCAATTTTTGCTCAGGCTGGTGTGGAATTTAACAATGAATTCCATGGATAGGGTTTTTTGAAAATATTGAAATTTTTTGAAAGAAATTTGGCATTTAATGAGAAATACAGAAAAACCACAATTTAAGTTATACGAAAAGCACCCCTACCTGCAGCTTAACATGGTTGAAGTTTTTAAAATTTTGCAACCGAATCTATCGTAACTATCGTTTTACTTATGGGCTAAGCACATTTTACATGAAGACATTATATATTGTTAGCGGTAGTGACAATTATGTAACCCGATGTCTCAGAATCCCGATGATACCCACCTCGTCAAACCTCAACGCATGCCAAATACAGCTGATGATTGTGATGCCAAGGCCCTAAAACCAGGTGATATGATGCATCTTAAAAGACTTACCGCCATCTGCCTAAGGTGTATCAAACGTTCGACCTAAGGAACACCGGTGAATCGGCCATGGGTTCATGGTACTTTTAGCAGCAAGCAATATTAACACATTGTAACCTAATACGACAATCCAGTTTGTGACGGCATTAGTTACCTTTATGAATATGTGCACAGAATGTGTTTCATCAGTCACTGACGTGGTCGGTAATCGACCCATGTCTACTCTGGTTGACCATAAGCACCATTGAAGGTTATTTATCATGCATACTAACTGTTAGGTGAGCCTTCAGTATACGTACTTGATGCAGTGCGGTAACCGGCCATTCGATACAACATGCAGTGATCTAGGAAAATCGGTATAAAATCAAAACCGTTTGACCTTTTTCTGTTATTTCTTCACAGGTTGATGTGCAATGGAACAATCAATCATGCATATCATTCATTCAACCATTTTGGAAACTGCTTTCCCTTTTTTAATGCATTACGGTACGTTTAATGCATGTAGCGAGACTGTCTCAAATAGCCCCACCAACTTTCGGCCTATGTGTTTTACGCCGCCAGAAATAAACACAACAACTTTATTTGAAAATTTCACTGTCATTGACTAAGAAATAGTCCTAGATAATCATCCTGTGCTTTTTAAAGCTTAGGATCACATCATATTATGACAGCCCTAGCATAAAGTAATGCAATTTTTTAGCAGACTGAAATGCTAGGTCCAAGGAAAAACGAAAAGTTTGATTATAAGGGTTATTCAACTGTAGGTAGTTGAAAGAAATGCTTTTTGCTAGAAGTATCAAAATTTAATTTCCAATCGCATGGCATTAAAAGAATTATCCCTAGCTTGACCAATTTTCTTCAATTTCCTCGCAACCAAAACTGTCTCAAATAGCCCCACACTATGGGGCTATTTGAGACAGGCTTCAAGTTTAAAAATAACTTTATTTATGGTTAATAGCTGAACCAAAATTGACCTATCTGAAAGCGGTTGCAGAGAACTACGTTTTGCAATTTACATGCTATAGGAAATATCAACCGTTTTGAAGGGAAAGGCCAAAAACTGTAAAATCTGTTTCAAATAGCCCCACTTTACGGTACGTATCAGATGTACTATTTTCACTGAACTCTAATATATACTGGAAGGAGCATTGGTGACTTTTTTTGTCTATCGATTTCCGCCATGTTGTGCAATGTGCATACCAGAAATATAAATTGCATGTACGGTAGCAGAGGTGCAGTTTAGTGAGAGGTACACTACTCAAAAGTGCTGCTGCTTCATGCTTGCAGTTTGATTGCAGTGATCAACTTTTCAAGACTTTGGTATACACAACATGGCGGAAATCGTTAGACATTCTGGCCCATATACGGCCAAGGCGAGTGCCTCCCCCTGACTATTTTATCTTTTTCACGCAGTCTCGTTCATATTACGTGCCTACATGGAACGCTCCATAATCCATTTTTCCTTAGTCGCTTGAATTGAAGCTTAACTGCTTGTCGACAAAACTGTTCATGACATAAATGAAAATGGATTCGTTAGTGCATAGACCATTTCATAGATACAGATGCACTACGAAGGTGTAGCGGTCTATGTTTTTTCATACATCTAGCCAAAAAAAGTGTTCGTTCAAAGTGTCTTGATATTCGGACTTGGAGTGCTGCGGTACAGCCTACCTTCAGGCATTTACACTGGCGCCATCTATGAACGGTTTTTAACACTTCCACAATGCGACAACACTTCCAATGCCTACCTAATACCTTAGCGCTAATCTGTGCTGGCTGGGGAAGTGCGCGAACGCAACTAACAAACAGTGGCGCGGGAACTACTTTCAGGCTGGGGGGGGGGGGGGCATGTGATATTAGCGGTACTGTGTACATACTGTTAGCCGGTGTACAGCAGCTGTACGCCGGCTAACAGCTGCTGTTAGCCAGCTGTAATGTGCCTCGCCGGGGAAACGCTTGCCCGCCGCGCTGGGTGAGTGTGCTCTCGGCTACGCCCGGGTCGTGTGCGTGCTGCCGACATAGACCGCCGCTGTTGTCGCCGCTCTCTGGATGCATGCCTCGCCCCTATGCTTCACAACACGGCAGGGCACACCTCATGCTTCCCGGAACCGAGGGTACCCTCAAATCTAGTTTTCTCACCGGTGTTAGACCACTTTTTTCATCCCTTCGCCATTTCAACGAAAAGAATGAAACGAAAACATTTGCAACAAAGTGAGATATTTCGTCTCAGCCGAGTCAAGGGACCACCTTTTTGGTAACATAGAATAAAGGTTTAAATCTTTCACATGAGCTGGCATGCCAGGAAAAGAGGATTTTTTACATTTTTCTTCCATTCAGTTTTCCTTTGTGACGCACAACTGCTAATTCAGGGAGGACAAGCTGCCCCGACGGTTCCTGGCCCTATGAAAAGTTGTGGGGGCAGCGCCCCCCCCCCCCCCCACGGCCCCAGAGTTGTGGGGGCAAGCTGCTCCCACTGCCCCCTCCCCCCCCCCCCCGGCTCCCGCGTCCATGCTAACAAATTTATCAACATTCAGCGGAGGATTAGGTCTGACAATGCTGCCGTGATGAGTGGTGCTTCACCGTGTTACCGTTGTAGTGAATGGTCGATGGCATTTACCGGCTTGTCATTGCTCTATTGCTCTCCTCTCTCATCTCTCATCTCTCATCTCTCCTCCACTCTCGCTCTCTCTCTCTCTCTCTCTCTCTCTCTCTCTCTCTCTCTCTCTCTCTCTCTCTCTCTCTCTCTCTCTCTCTCTCTCTCTCTCTCTCTCTCTCCCTCTCTCTCTCCCCTCTCTCCCCCCTCTCCCTCTCTCTCTCTCCCCTCTCTCCCCTCTCTCTCTCCCCCTCTCTCTCTCCTCTCTCTCCCCCTCTCTCTCCCCCTCTCTCTCCCTCTCTCTCCCCCTCTCTCTCCCCCTCTCTCTCCCCCTCTCTCCTCCTCTCCCCTCCCCCTCTTTCCCCCTCTCTCCCCCTCTCTCCCCCCTCTCCTCTCTCTCTCTCTCTCTCTCTCTCTCTCTCTCTCTCTCTCTCTCTCTCTCTCTCTCTCTCTCTCTCTCTCTCTAACTCCCCCTCTCTCCGTTTACAGACCTTGCCATGCTGGACGCGCCGGCGGGTACCAGTATCGAGTACGACTACCTCATCAAGTTCCTGGCGCTGGGTGACTCGGGTGTGGGCAAGACCTCGTTCCTGTGGCAGTACACGGACGGTGTGTTTCATCAGCGCTTCATATCCACAGTCGGCATCGACTTCAGGGAAAAACGACTGGTGAGACGGAGAAAAAGGTTCGGGGAGACGGGGAGAAAGGCCGAGGAGACTGGAAGAAACGTACTAGGAGACGGGAGGTATGACTGGAAATATGGGGAGAAAGGTTGGGTGAGACGGGAAAAATCATTGGGTGAGGTGTGAGAAACGGCTTGTGAGACGGGGAGAAATCACTTGGGTAACGGGAAGAAACGACAGGAAAGACGTGTTTAATGAGTTTTTGGGCGGGGAGAAATGCGGAGTAATAAGATGAGAAATTTCTTGTGAGATGCGAGACGTGGAAGATTACTTGTAATGTAGACAAGGGTAGGTCACATGTTAACCCTCGCCCGTAAACGGTGTTTTGCCACCTTCGCCCATGCAGGGGGGGGGGGTTGGTGCGACCCCCCCTGGCGTTTGAAAACGGAGCGTCGTAGAGCTTAGCGGAAAAGACCAACGGATTGCTCTCAACGAGATCTCGCGATTGGTGGTATATTTTTTGGTCCTAGGTCAACATTTGACCTACTATGACCGGTCAAAGGTCAAATTTTCGGGAAAATCTAACTTTTTCAGATTTCCGCGCCGATGGCGGCAAAACGGTAAGAGATAACGACTTGAAACCTTCACTATCGTGATCCATGATCAATTCTCTATCGTTTGGTGTGTATTTCGATGTCATAACTCTTAAAATGATGCGTTGGGAGCATTGGAAGTCTGCAAGGTCATTTGTGCATTGGGTCACGTCAGGCGTGTGACGTCACTGACCTGACCCTGACCCAAAATGAACTACAAGAAACAACCGACGATGCCTGAAATGGATAGCAAATTCGAATTCAGGGCATCAAAATACCCCGAAAAGGCATACAAGTGCAAGAAGTCATTACAGGTCAACCGAGGTCACTGACCTGTCACCTGACCTTGACCTTTAGTAACCTTGAAAAGGTCAACGGACATTGTGTCAATGTCAAATCAGCCAGTTATGATTCTAAAACAATCCATCAGTGTGTCAGGTCAGTCGGCATTTATACCAATGTGAAGCAATCTCCGATTTAGCGTAAATCTGGCCGGAGGTTGTTCCCTTTATGACGTCATAACTCCGTGACCTGACATGACCTTGACAAAAAAAAAAATACCAAAAGTTGCGCGAAGGATGCCCCATAGGGTACTGAAAATTTGAGCAGGCTATCTGAAACGGTTCGGCGTATAGCTAAGAAAAACCTCAGGGGGGGGGGTGCACCAACCCCCCCCCCCCCTACATGGGCGAGGGTTAACATGTAGGTATGCAATGCATATTTGCGACTCCATTTCTCAATTATCGTCAACCTTATTCACATAGGATTATGTTATCTTCCCCTAATTCCACTTCTTCCCGCATAATCTCTTCTCCATTTTCTCTCGTTAAAACGTCATCCTCTCCCTATTCTCTCCTCCGGTCTATTTTCTGTCCGGGGTCCGTCGGGTCGGTCTCATTGCCTTCGTTCGCCCCCGGCCCGTCCGCCGGCGGCCGTCTCGACTCTCATTTGTTGTCGACGACGACGCCGGCGGGAGACACTCCCGGATACCCCGAGAGGAGCACTGGCCGGTCGTTTTTGTGGGTCTGACATGATGGGATGTTTTATCCGTGTTTTCTCCGAAAGGAGATGTTTCCTGTGTTCTCCGTTCCTACAAGTAGCCTCCCTCCGGTGTGGTCTAAGGTCTTATCTCATTTGGACTTCTTTCCAATGCATCAGATTATGGGTCCTTGTTATGCACAATGGCCTCTCATGTAGTACCATTGTGTGCTAACGTGTACCATTCTGGCCCTTATGCACTTCGTTAACCTCAGCTGTTCCCTTCCTGTGACCTGACCTGCCCCACCTCAGCTGTTTCCCCATGACCTGACCTTTCGTTGTCCTATTGTGTTTTAGCTGTACCGGCCCAAGGATGCTGACGGCACACCACAAGGAAAGAGCCAGAGGATTCACCTACAACTCTGGGACACCGCCGGCCAGGAGAGGTCAGATCGGTCACTCAGAGGTCACCGAGACCGTGCAGAGGTCACCGAGACCGTGCAGAGGTCACCGAGACCGTGCAGAGGTCACCGAGTGGCGGGGGTCGCTTAGGATAGTGCCGGCATTGTAGCGACAGCTGCTAGATAGGACCCTCCCAGACGGATTGGTCATGGTTGTAACCAAGTGTTGTATAACTGCAAATCATCCGGGTTAATGCTGCGGGTGGTAATAGCCGGAAAATCGATGCAACCTGATCAGCAGGTGTACTTTTTCAGCTTGTGGGCTGTGCCTGCAGCGCGATGATAAGAGTTGAGTGCTGCAGTGCCGGCCCGCAGGCAGGGTGAATGATAATATTGCATTGGCATCGGCTATCAAAACATAAACCGGATCACAATCCGTCTGGGAGGGTTTTTAGTGGCCAGTTCTGCTGTGAACCTAGCGAGACTGCTCATAGGTATAGCTGAGTCGAGACAAGGCATTTACCCGCCGGCATCCAAAAATATCACACATCGTGTTCCGTTCATAATTTACATTCCTCCATCGCAGCGCTAACTTTCCCATCCGCTCCGGACCTGAAATTCTGTTTTCCGAGTTTGAGTGACACCGAACTCTCGCGTGTCTGTTGTTTACGAATCCCGCTCCGCCTCATAGAATAATAACGCACGCCCCATTAGAGTGGCCTGACCGGGATGGCTGACCTGCCTGCAAATTGCAAATGGGACGGGATGGACTTGCCTCAACGCGCTTCCGTCGTAGCCCATCGCACCGTCTAAAAGTAGGTGCAGGCGGAATGGCGAATAGATACATGAGGTATAGCTTACATGACAGGATTAGACCTACCGGGACTAATTGTTGAGAATGGGATAACTCATTTGCAAGGTTGTTTGTGCCTAAAAGGACCATATGTGCGAGCTTGTAATGAAATTTCGAGCAATTTTGGAGAATAACTGTAGATTCACCTTGTGAGGCCAAACGTTTAGTATCTTGATTCTTGGCATTATGTGCATATAATACAATCTCCCTTATAAAATATTTTACGTTTTATCGTGGGCTGTATAAATTCCCTCTTTCGTAAAGCACAGGTGTTTAACAGAAACGGCGGGGGATTGCCAACGTGCCGTATTAAATAGCCCTTCCCTGTCGACCGTAATTAACCTGGCATGGAGGACCCTTCAAAGCTCCTACTGGTGCTCAGACTGGAAGATTATAACACCCTATGTTCTGAGCGAGCAGCTGCGCCGCGCGAATGCAGATGACGGCGCTATTTTGCGCTGGAACTCGTCTCCAGCTCTATTGGTCTTCAAACAGATCCGGCGCGCCTCATCAAAGGCATCCGGGATCTTTATTTGAGTGGCTTTCCCCGGCCGCCGGCTGCCGGCGATCATAAATGGCGCTAACGGAGGGAGCTGCCTCTGATGGCTGCTGACGAGCAGCCGTCCGAGCCGGCTTCTGATTATCGGCAGACGGCGTGCCAGTGCGGCGTCACAGGAAATTCTGTGGTGGTATTTTATATTGCGTCTGAGATGGAAAATATGGGGAAATCGCCTACCAGGGGATCCCGAGGATAGAATATGTATTTTTCAAGATTCTTACAGATAGTATTTTTAGTAACTTATTTGTCATAAGCGTCAGCAGTAACGGAAATGCTTATTGATAGTTATTTGTCATTAACGCCAGCGGTAGGGGGATTACCGGTCCCTAGCGGACGCTGTGCTGTCATTTATCCGCGTCCGCACACTCTTGAGGCCCATAGGTTTTAGGCCCTCCACTCCTGAGGCTCATTGGTGCACCCTTCCATCAGCTCCCCGGTCCCAATAGTTGTCCCACTGGCCACTGCGCCCATCAGCAGTCCCCGTCCCATCAGTTGTCCCACCCATCGACTCCTCCGTCCCACCATGCGCCCCACCTAAAGGTTTCCCACCCGGCCTCCCAGTCTGCCTATCGGCTCTTTATCCTACCATTCATCCACTGCATGTTCCGCCGGCGGGTGATGCCTTGGAAGTTGGAATAGACTAGACGATTACCAGTGCACAGCTTAGTGTTTGCCGTGGTGATTAGCACTGAACGATGCGCTCTGCCGTGAATGCTGTATGAGACTTGACTAACTCGCCTGACTAGCCTAACGGAATGTCAATACTAACTGCCTAGACTGCTTGCTAATTGATCACTAACCAGCTTGCATCATAGCGCTAGCATAGCTCATAACGTAGCGTACCTTCGCTAGCACAGGTGCCTGCTGTATAGCTCTCTAGCCTTCACTAGCGCTCAGTACGTACTAACCCGCCTGATTAGGACCGCTCGCCGCCGCTGGATCGGTCGCCGGCTCTGCGCTGACCCGCTGGTCACCGCAGGTTCCGCAGCTTAACCACGGCCTTCTTCCGCGACGCCATGGGCTTTCTACTGCTGTTTGACCTGAGCAGTGAACAGTCGTTCCTGTCCATCCAGGGCTGGCTCGACCAACTCAAGGTCAGCTCTCCGTCTATGGAGGTCTCTGGAGGAGACGGTGGGATTGTGAGAGATGGGACGGGGTCATGTTGTGGTCAGCTTTCCGTCGCTGGAGGGGACGGTAGGGTTGTGTGAGCTGGGATGAGGTCACGTTGTGTTCGGGTGTGATATGGGTCTCAGTAAAGTGAGGTGAATGATGATTGTGAGCACTGTGTGTATTATGGAGATGATAACTTGTTATTTTGTGTGGCCTTATTCTGGACTGGATTTCAACCTATTTGAGATCGTGATTGATGCCTGGATTTAGACACACCAGACCTGAAATTTCACACATCAAACGGTTGAAATTGTTATCCCAGTCCCGGCATGTTTGATGATGTGTTTTGCGGTATGTGGGAGGCGGTAATGCTGGCGGTGACACCCGCGAGCGAATGCGCAAACTGCGTTAATCAGTGCTTTGAAGCTTGCCGCCACTCCCGCCCCGCGTGCTTTACTGTCAGTGCCACTGCTGTGTACACTGTTTATGAGTTGCACGAAACCCCACCCGGTGCGCGGCGTGTGTTACCCACGTAATTACCTCGGTGTCTGTGTGTCTGTGCGAGCTGGGTGTCCTCTAAGTGACCTCTCTGACTCGCTAGCGGGGCCGCTCGAGACGCGCTACCTCGACCGGTCACCGATCGATAGTCTCTGATTCGATTGACCGCGCTGTATTGCGCTAGATTGAAGTGACTCGCTGGGTAAACGGTTCACTAGAAAGATTTGACATAGCCTTGCTGTCTTCACAGGCGTTCGAGGAACGGAGTTCTTCTGTAGATTAAGTTCCAAGTGTTCCAAGCGTGTTCAGCGTACCGTTTTGTTTAGTTTTCCTTAGAAGCTGTTCATAGTTAGATCTGCGAATCTTTTCTCCGCACTTAATCATTGTATCTCATGCTTCATTTCCACACCTTTCACAGCGTCTCTTGTATGGTATTTTCAGACGCACGCATACTGCGATAACCCCGACATAGTGTTGTGTGGAAACAAGGCTGACCTGGAGCAGAGAGCCGTATCCGAGGAACGCGCCCGGGACGTGGCAGATAAACACGGGTCAGTATCCGACCGGCGTGCTCGTTACGGTGACTGGGAGATCGGGAAAACGGTATAAGGGGTTCAGAACACGAGGGGCAACAGGTGTCTCACGTCTGGATAGTTTCAACAAATGTGTGTGCTAAGGTATACGTGGCGACAGCTTGATGCTGCTGTTGGGCTGATTGGATGGTTGTTTGGTTGACTTAGTAAACTTAGCTGCTTTCGTCCCTACGAAACCATTGCTTGGCCATTGGTCGGTCATCGGGAATTAGGGTAGGGAGCTATTTTGCTTCGATGTTTCTCTGCTCAGCGCTGTCCCGAGGAAAAGTCCAAGTGGCGGGTCACAGAGTCTCGCTAATGGTCGCCCCGGGATAACTTATCCAACTTGAGTTGCCGACTTCCACTGGTTACCGCCGGCCGTCCAGCCCCGCATATTAAACATTGTGGTCATGGCGGGGAGCGGAAGGTTTCTGAGGATAAAAATGAATGATGTTTTGATATATGGATCGTGGAAGCAAAGCGCAACTATAGTGAGTTCATGCGGTGATGTATGAGCTGCAAGTTGTAGAATTAGATCATGGAATTGACAGTGCTAGGGGATAAAGAATATTGTACCAAACGATGGCTCAACAGAGTTTGTACGTCATGTGGCGAGAGCCCTTACCAATATTGTTGCTGACTTCCCCCCCCCCCAAACAATGTTTTGCCCCTCTGTGTACACTGCCTGATCCTCGTATACCCTCATACTACCACCCATTACGATTAGCTAGCGTTTTTCGTTTCGCTGATATCTAACTGAAAACCGTTCATTACCCCTACGATATCCCCCACTGATCCGTTTCTCTACCCCCAGTCTAACATACATCGAGACATCAGCAGCCACCGGTCAGAACGTCCGCGCCGCGGTGGAGCTGCTACTGGAGGCGGTGATGAGACGTATGGAGCAGGCCTCCGACCAGTCGACTCTACCGGGCCGGCGCGGCAGACCGGCCCCCGACGTGGCGCACATGCAGCTCACGCCCGTAGAGGAGTCCAAGTGCGCCTGCTGATGACAGCTAGGGACGGGATAGGGGCGTGATGGGGAGGAGATGGAATAAGCTAGACCGGCACGGAAAGATTAGGTAGAGGGCCGCCAGGAAAACGGCGGCGAGAGGAGTGGACGTCATGTGCCATGAAAGCGGGCGGCGGGGCGGTGCCGATGCTGAAGTGCAATTATTGTGACCGACCGTTCTAACCAGGCGCTGATGTAGGTATGTGCCACTGTTACGCGCCCGTCAATGTTTTCCGACAGCGGGGCCATTAATGACGAAATGCCAACGATGCCAATAGTGGAGCTCTGCCGGGGCTCAGCCCGACGTTGCCATGTTTTCCGATTGTTGACCATGTTACGCTGGGGTGTTTTGTGTGTTGGTGGATTGTTTGTGTGATCAGGGGCGTTCGCCACTGCCTCTGGTGGGTGCGACTCGCTGGGGTCAGGTCAGGGCGCCTGCCCAGCCGGCCGGCTGTTTTGTCCAGGGTCTGCGGCTCAAAGGCCGGTGCTTGGGGCTCTCATTGTGCTGCCAGTATCGGACGCTTATTGATTTCGTCTTCCGTGGTTGGATCTGGCCGTCGCGGGGCCGGTGCGCCTCCCGACAAGCGATTGATGATGCGAGGTTAATCAAAAAGACCTGCCGCGCTCAGCCGGCGCGCCGGTCGACGCCGCCGTTTTTTGAAGATCTATATTCGCGTTGTATCGAGGCAGCTCCTCTTCTTTTGCTCATCTTCGACTGCTAGGATCGAATTTGGGTGGTCCGTGGTTACTGAGAGATCATATATGAGAATATGATTTAGTGTGAATTAATACATGTTTATAGACGTTTCGTCATTATGTTTAGCGAGGAATGTGACTGGATGTCTCACGGATATTTGATATTTGAAGATATGGAACAAATTACGTATGGGAGAGTAAAGCTCTGCAGCTGCAGAGATTTTTTTAGGCATTTACAAAAACCCGCCCGACAAAGCAAGGCGCGCCTCTCATTACTGTTTCCAATTATGTACTTTATTTCCTCACTAATTTTCGTTGTGATTAATCCGTCTTCTGATCGTTAATTTTGTGTGATTAACGATCGCATTGCAGCTATATGCGACTCATCCTTGTAAGCAATATATCAATATAGCGTAAATAGACAGTTGGGTCCTGGCTCCGATGAAAAAGAAAGTGCATTGCGTTGTGCACTCACGTCGCCGCAAGAGTTAGTTGTTACGAGCGAGCGAGCGAAGCGAAGTCTTTTTCAATATAACGGAAAAATCTCAGTACTGAGCGGCCCGGCCCGGCCTGTAACGCTTTTGAGAGGCTTATATCTCAGCAACCGCTGGACCGATTGGCCTGCGGTCTTTTTTGCTGGATAGCCCCATCCCTTCTACCCCGTTATTGACTACTTTTGACACATCTTAGTGACCGTCGTGGCACGTGCCACGTGAAAAGTCAAGGGTGTTCAAGCTGTTTTGCAAAAGTAGTGATTTTGAGAGGCTCATATCTCAGCAGCCTGCAGCAGCCGCTTGGGCGATTGTCTTGCGGTAATTTTTATAGGGTAGCTGCATCCCTTCTACTAGTTCGGATACTCTTGATCTATGTGAGTGACCCCTACTGCACGTGCAAAATACAACAATAAGAGGTGTCAAATTTGTTCCCATTTTAATAACTCGGTAATTCCTGGGGCGATTTCGCTGAAAGTTGGCATACAGGTAGGCACCCACCAGGCAATGCATTCCCATGTGTTGCGGTTAAGGTGCTACTGCACGTGCGCACGTGCAGGGGGCGCTTCCAGATCTCGAGAACGGCTGGGCCGATTGCGCTCAAATTTGGTACACGGTTGGGGACCAGTTAGTAGGGTGCCGTGCAAAAGTCAGTTTGGACCCCGTTTGCACGTGCGCACGTGCAGAATGCCGCTTCCAGATCTCAGGAACGGCTGGGCCGATTGCGTTCAAATTTGGTATGCTGCTAGCGACCGGTTAGGAGGGTGCTTTGCGCAAGCCCGTTGGAAGTACCCTCTCGCCCTTCCGCACGTGCAGGGCTCACTATCTCGCTCGCTCGTTCTTCGCCCAAAAGACGTTTTACTGGTATTTGTAGCTGATGTTCAGCTTATAAGCATAATGCAGACTGAATCAAAGTGGGTCAGGCTGTAGTTTGCCTAGAGCTGTTAGAAACTTGGATTTGCATTGTCAGGTGGTTCGTGGTCAGCAAGGTTCGTTGGCTGATGAGATTACCAGACACCCGCTAGACACTGAATGTCAAGGGCACATCGACCCGTAAGAGACTTCTCGTCCCACAGCCGTCAAACCACTTACACCTGACAGCACTCCGCATGTCAACGGTCATCCCCAAACGCTCACTAAACAGGGAAAGCTGTGTATTTGCGCTGTATATGTATCTAATACACTGCACTGGCCGCCTACAGCGGGCGGGCGGGCGGGCGGGCGGCGCCCCGGCCACACGGAGGCCAAACGGGGGCGCCGCGCCCCGTCCGTGCGGCGCCCCCACACTGACACGCGGCACACGCGGCGGGCGCGGCCGAGTTTGTTCCTAGCGCGGGGCGGCGGCGGCGGCGCGGGCAGATCTGCATCACTCGGCGCACGGACGCTCTGCTGGCCTGGTCTACCTCTGACTGGCCTCGGGAGACAATGCCCTGGGTGCTCCGACTCTCTCAGTTGTCACCGGGTCCACACACGTGACACAGTCGCGATCTGTGACCCATCAACTCGCCTCTCGATTCGGCATGTCACTGCCGAGCTAACTAAAACTCCAGCGTTCGTCAGTCGCCACCTCCTAACACATACCCCGGCCCGGCCGCCGCCCCTGTAGTTAAGACATCTCTCACACAAATGCATACATATACACAATTCGTGGGCAGTGCGGACGTGACCGCCCCTATGATTGTATGTGGGTGACGCGGCGCGGTGGCAGCGGCGGCGGCGACTACGGGCGGGCCGGCGGCCGGCCCGGCCTTCGCGGTCCGTGGACAGCAGGGCCGGGCCGGGCCGTCCGACCCGCCCCGGGAAGACGTGTTACCAGTCCTAACGGCGCCGCGCGGCCGCTCCTAGCTCACAGCTGAAAAAACATCACGACCGCGCGGTGAGTCGACAAGCAGTGTTCTCTAGCTCTGTGCTCGCGCGCGGCCGACCGGCTCGGCACCGCGCTCCGTATACAAACAGGCAACTGAAAGGGCAAGGGTAGCTCTGCGAGCCGCGGCGACGGCGGCGGCGGCGACGGCGGTCACTGGTCGGTCGATATATCACACGGCGCTCGAAGCGCGCTGACTAGTCCTTGCTGTCCTTGGGCGGGGTGATGAGCCATCCGATGGCCGTGTTGTCAAACCCGCTGCTGAACAGGTTCGGCCGGCCCGAGCTGAGGTCGTCACTCCATGCCACTGAGCACACCATGCGCCGGTGGCCCTGCGGGAGGGACGGACGGCCGTCAGACCGGTGAGGACGGCATGGGGCGCGAAGGGTTAGTGGGGGTAGGCTATGACACTCGACCACCACCGAGGTACCGCAAGACAGACAGTACGGAATGTGGTCATTTTTTCAATACACAAAATCGGTTAGGGATGCGCTGCTGTTACCATGGCTCTTCAGTCTACATAGCTCTCGTACACTAGAGGCGACGCGACATCTAGCGACATTGAGCATCGTGACTGTCCTCTGCCGCCGGCGAAGCAATAATCGGTCACTGCGTCTTCAAAGTTGCCCCCACAACCCTCCCAACCTTGTCAGTTGTCACACCCCTATCTTGCCTTCCCGGCCTAAGCACATCTCTCGTCCGACCCTTCAATCCATCCCACGCACTATGACCTCCCTACACCCTCCCCTTAGCGCCACTCACCAGCCGGTTGGAGCGCGGCAGTCGGGCCAGACGCTGGCCATTCATATCGTACAGGCGGATATGCCGGTTGTCGAACGGCACCGCTATGACGTTTGCCGATGAAACGTCCAGCCGGTTGACCGCGGCGTCCCCGCGGATGGTGGCTAGTGGTGAGCGCATGTTCTTCAGGTCCCAGACCTTACAGCTGCGGTCGTCGCTGCCAGAAACTACCTTATCCTCGCGGCTGAAGACGGCCGAGGTCACAGCGCTGGCGACAGGGAGGGTCAGAGGTCAGACGAGGTTAGATGAGGGAAGGGTGGGTGGCTTGTCGCGGTGGGGCAAGGGACGGTCAGATGGGTTAGACGGGTCAGATGGAAGAGAGGTCAAAGCTGTCATGGCACAACCGAGAAAATAGCGATGTCACTTACGCGGGGACGGGTCGGACGGGGGAGTAGATGAGACGCAACTGTTAGAGGCGCAGACATGTCGCAGGCAACGCGAGTCGACTGATGAACAATGTCCGATTCGCATGAAGCAAGGCATAGGGCAGATAAGAGGCAGGAGCAAAACTGCGTATTGCTAACTGCGACTTGCTAACTGAATATCGGAATCTTTCTTAACTCTCTCACTAAATTAAGCATCAAGTTTTTCATTAGGCTACTTGAGTTTAAAACTCCAAGCGAGTAACCGCAATAAAATTCTGTCAAAGCGGCTATACGTTCAGTCAACCACGAAGTGCCGCACTCTATTCTCACTCACAAAGACTGCTGGCACCATCTACATTACCTTTCGCGACGTATACTACAGAGGCTTGGGTCCACAATAGAGTGTGTTCACTGAAAGCATTAAAATTGCGCCTACGCCCACCCTTCTCACTCTGTGTGTCCCTGGAACACGGAGACGCAGGGAATGGGCTCGCGGAAGTCCCACAGCCGGAAGGTGAAGTCCTTGCTGGACGTGACGACGAACTTGTGGCTCGGGTGTGCCGAGACGTGCGTGAGCTCCTGGTCGTGGCCAGCCAGTGTGTTCAGGCTCTCCCCCGTGTTGACGTCAAACAGCTGCGCCGTCCGGTCCCAGGAGGCGGTCACCACCTGAGGACAAAGGTCAGGGGTCGGGTCAGGCCACAGCACCGTCCTGTTCTAAGAGACACCAGGCCAGGCTAACCGAAACAAGGCCACCCAAAACACTTACTCCCACAACTTCAGCACTTAAATCCCAAAATCATAGTTCTCCAAAGTCCAAACTCATTATCACGTAGTAATGAACCATATTCTCGTAGCAATACGAGGCAGCATTTCATGATCGTCTAAAATTAGCCACAAACCCATACCACAACAATGACGCCGTCTTCTTCTCCCGAAACCCCACTTCGTATGAACTGCCTCACCTCCCTGAGTTTCTTCTACAGTCAACCACCCTTTCGTCTTTCTATCTCCCCTCCCTACGCTCTCTCCTCATTCGTTCCTACCCACGCCACGGCGCCCCCGCCCCGTTCACCTGTTCGGCTCCAGCCAGCCAGTCGGCGGCGATCACCACCCCCGAGTGACCGGTCAGCTCCAGAATCGGTGTCCGGAGCACATTGCTGCCCTCGGCCGGCGCGGCCATGTCGTCGTACATGTCGGACGGGTCCACCTCCTCCTCAGAAGACATGGCCCGCTGCGGTGGAGAGGGGGAGAGGGTGAAAGAGTGAGCTGGAGGACAGAAGGGGAGAGTGAGAAAGAGGGGCAGGGTGAGAGGGTCGTCATACCTATCCGACGGGTCCACCTCCTCTTCAGAAGACATGACCCGCTGGGGGACAAAAGGGGAGAGTGAGAAGAGGGCGTGGCCCACTCGAAGAGAAAAGGGGAAGAGTGACAGAGATGGGAGAGGGGGAGGGTGAGAGGGGACGTGGCCTTGGCATACAGAGGGAGGGGTGAGAGCCGTTGAAGACAGGCAGGGAGGATAAGCAGGGGTATGTAGAAAACTAGTCCCCATAGGCAAACAACAAGCCTAAGGTACTAATGACCTGCCGGGGAGGTCGAGGGTGGGTAGTGGTACAAACGGACTGCCGTATTCTCAGTCTAAGATATCAGCGATAAACTATTCTAGTGTCTATAATGTTTCTAGAAACTCCACATATCTGAAGGTTTCTACGTATTTAGGCAATGCACAATGCACATCAACTCAGAATGATAGGTATATGAAAGGGTCGAGGATAGAATAGAATTGGAATATCATCACAAAGCATATACGATGAGGGAACGAAATAAATCGAGCATCGAAAAACATCTAGAATATAGATGTCCTGGAAATGTCCTCTATATACGCTATGCATGGACTGTTCAATCTATGCATATTGCATATCCATTGAATCAATCAGTTCAATCCTTGGTTGTGTCCCATCACAGCAGGTCGATCTGTAATTGAAATCGTGGACGAGGGAGCAGGCTGGATCCACCGAAAGTATCACAAGTGCAGCACGATAGAGAGTTGGTGCAGGTATTATAGTTAGTAAAAACGGCACTGCACAAGTGTGCGCCCAACTGTTTGTGTATCCCGACACCTGTTAAAACTGCGCAGAGTGTCGCAATCAAGGACGGCTGAAAACAGTTACTGGTGCAGGCAGAGAGCATAGAGTCAAACTGCGAAATATGATAAGGAAGTGTTTGAATAGTGGCATGCAGTAACCAAACCTTGCCTCACCTCTCTCGATTCGTTCTTCTCAGGGTAAGCGACAAACCAACGGGGAAAGGTGAGCGTTCTACGTTAGTTGTCGTCAGCTCATAAATATGCTGGCATGAAGCTGTTGATACGGTAATGGTAGTTTATCCTTACATTTGTTCGTTTATACTGCATACTAGGTCGCTAGCGTCGAATCAGGGTCGTTCCCAAAAGAGACTGTGATGGTGGCATACACTTACACGCTCAGTTTTGATACAATAAAATGTTAAAACAGCTTAAGGACAATTAGATTCGCACAGCTTGAGGATCCTATTTCCCATGGTACGGTAAAATCTGAAGCTGAGACGCTAAATGACACCTGAAGAGGACTGAGACTATGTAGAGGTTCATGTCATAAATTTCGGAATGTTTCACTTTTTAGATTAGCGGATACCGCGACGCGTCTTAACGGCCCCAGGCTAACCTGACCTGCGTTATGTCTGGCACTCAAGTGTGAAAGCGTGCTTTGTTGTTCACACTTGTGCATGATCCAATATCGTACAACCGACTCTTTGTTCGGCATTTAAGACGTGCTTACAACGCTTCGTTCTTGCATACTGATTGGTGTCAAAGTCCTGAACAGCCTTCCATATTGGAATATCTACAGAATTACATATGACCACTTCGTATGCGTGGCATTTTGGGAGTGTTTTGGTCCTGTAATATGCATGAACATAAACACGTCACAGGCAGCAGCTGGGACCCCGTACCCCACTGGGTCTCGCTCCCCCGCCTCCCGGCTCACCCCCGAGTCGATGTTGACGGCCGCCTGCCAGACGTGTGCAGTCTGGTCGCCCGACCCGGTCAGCACCAGGTCGCGCGTCGGGTGGAACCGGACCGAGTTCACCGAGCCCTCGTGGCCCTGGTACTGCAGCAGACACCGGCCAGAGTCGACCGACCATACACACGCCGTGTGGTCTGCGAGAGGGGAGGGACGGTCAGACAACACGCCATGCAGGTTACATAGGTGGCTTGGCAGGTCACACATGGAAATTTGACAAATCAGGTCACACAGCATCAGCAAAAACAAGGCAATATACAAAAAAAAATTGAAACCAAAGTTTCGTACCGCCATCGAACCTCAACTTCTGGACGTAGTTGATTCCTATTCCTACCTCTGACAAGGCGATCCCTCTCCCCGCAGCCTCCAGACATGTGGCACCCTACTCCTTCCCGCTACAGACCTTCAGCATTCCGCTCATTCCCGTTACAGACCCGAAGAATCCCACTCTTTCCCACTACCCCATGGACCCATCCCCCACACACTGACCTGCGTCCTCTCCCCTCCCGTTTTCCCCCACTGACCTGCTGACGCTGTGCCGACCACATGCTGCCCAGGCCGTCCGGCCGATACCTCCCAGACGCCGTCCTTGTGACCGCGGTACTCCCGAACTAGGGCGCACACCACCGAGGCCGCCTTGAAGCTCGACACGATCTTACTAGTCTGCTGCTTCAGCTTGTAGGCCGGCTTCAGCTTCTGCGCCGCGTGCGACATGACTGCCGAGCGGAGATGTTAACTGGTGAGACTTGAGAGTCGGTGAGAGCTTTCGCAGATCGGTTAGCCCGGCATAGCAGCCTCACACTCACGAACAAAACTTCCTGATTCACCCAATTATCATCAACACTGTTGCACTTCAAAGACCGAACTCTGCGTGGCTTCTTGGCAGTTGACACGTTACACAGACATCAAGTCAAGGCAGACCCCGCCGCAGTCAGTCTAAGTTGACCACCGAGACGCAAATGGCGCAGTCTCGGGACACAGCTGCGGCCTACTGAGACAGTAGGGAGCAGCAGGGTTTAGTTGCGACACAGGATATAAGGCGATAGGCGTCGAGCACATACAGAGCAAACGGAATCCGTAGAGAATTGAGAGGACACAGAGGGGAACGCGTAAAACCGGATGTGAAAAAAGAGCTTTCGGGGCGAGGGAAAGCGAGTATGGTCGTTACTTAGGAATTATCATTTGGCTTATTCAATTGAGCGACAGTTGAAGGGCAAGCCAGGTCAGGCTGCTGATTGACTCAGCCAGGGCGGGTAACTGAAGAGGAAAGTCGGCTACCGTGTTCATTTACCGAGATTTAGGTCGGATCTGTGGCAAGGGTACTCTGTTGTCAGGTGCGCCCAATGACCGTGGTAACGACCGGTTATCAGGTCATAGGACGTCGGTTATCATGGTAAGATCAGTCACCGTGGTAACTAGCGGTGACGTTTACCATAGGATATCATTTATTGTGGTACGTGGCGACGGTGTTCACTGTAGGATAAGGTCATTTACCGTGGTACATGGCCGAGGCTCGGGCAGGAGATAGGTCGGATATGGATGTCATCGGCTCGGAGCTCAGAGATGACGTCACTGGTGGAAAGGAGCGCCGCCGGGTGCCCCCTGGAACGGATGGGGTGCGGGTTAGGGTACTGGGGTTAGTGACGTCACCGGTGGAAAGGGGCGCCACCGGATGCCACCTGTAAAGGACGTTCAGGAAGCTAGAATTAATGATGTCACTGGTGGAAAGGAGCGCCGCCGGGTGCCGCCTGGAACGGACGGTCTGCGGGTTAGGGTACTGGAGTTAATGACGTCACTGGTGGAAAGGAGAGCTGCCGGGTCCCCCCTGGAACGGACGGTGTGCGGGTCAGGCAGGGTACGGATTCAGATACACAAGGAAGCCCGTTAGGCAGGGTATTGCGTGACCGCACAAGTGCAACCCGTCCCACTCAGGGGCCAGGCATACACAGACATGTCTTTGGTTATCAGGCGCTTCTACAGTAACGGCCGCCAAATTAACGACAGGGAAATAGCGGCTAGCGCTGAACACGGAAACATTTGGGCTACACGTGGGCAGCTTTATTACCCCAATAAATAACGGTTATTAGCGGGATAGCAGCTGATGAAACTGAATAATTAATTAGGGAAAATGTGTGTACTGGAAGTCACTAATAGTCACTAATATAATGATATGGGTAATATGGGCAATGGGCATACCAAAAGGCTAGAAAGAACTGTAAATGCAGCCAATCTCGAGCAAAAGTAATGAGTCAATAAAAGGGTGCACGCGACGGTGGCACCGGACACCAGGCTAAATGGCAGCAGAGCCAACCTCAAACGCTGAAAAGGATATGTTGGCTTAGACGCGCCCCAAGAGAGCACGGGGCACACGAGTTATTTAGCTTCACCGATATGTCAATCCCTTATCCCTGATCACGTCTGGCGCCCCGGCCGCTCCCGGCAGCACCGTCTGGCGCCTCACTCACGTTTCTGTTTGCTCTTGACGGCTCCGTCCGTGTCGTCACACCGGTCTCCTGTCTCGCGGTCCGGCTTCTCCTGTAGCAGCTCCAGCTCCTTGTGCACTGTGGATACACGTGGGGGTCAGGTGGATGGCAAAGGTGGACAACTGAGGTGGACAGTGGGCTGTGTGGATCGTCATGTGGACAGGACGTGGCCAGTGTGGTGTGTAGACTGTGAAAAGAGTGGAAAGGATATATGGACATTCGGTGTAATATTTAATTATTCATCTACCTAACATGTGGACACGTGCAATATTGTGAAAACATTCGGTATGTGGGGTTGTAGTCTGTAGATCATGTGAACGTGGATAGGACACGCTGACACCACTCAGTCAGACACCGTGCATGGACAGCTCGAACACACCGCGTGAATCACACACCCCGCGTGAACGATGCGTCATACGTATCCATCACATGGCAATGCGTCACGGGGGAAGTGCTCCGGCACGGAGGGGCGATCGGCGAGGGGAGGGCACGGGTGACGGGTATGGTCGGCCGGGAGGTGTCACTGATCGGGCTACCGGAACGGAGTGAGCCGTGTCGGCGGGCAGAGAAAGCGGAATACGTTAGTGGCTCGATGAGTCATTTTGGGTAGGCGGTAGGTGGGCCGCATGAGCCATCAATAAAGAAGTACGAACATCGAGACATTAATGTTTGCATTTATTGATGATTCTGTACGTGCCGGTTGTGTTGATCGTTTCACACTTACATTGAAACAGGAATATGACAATACAAAGTTGGTTATAAAATTTCATTCACCTTTCCCTGCCCCCCCCCCCAAACGCGAATTAAGGTTAAAAAAGAGGAGAACATTACTATAAAACGTTTGTTTAGCACGGCTTCATGGCCTATAGTTCTTCTGTCAGCGCTGATAAAAGGGGAGGTTTGCCGCACAGGTTCGATTTATCCACACAGTCAGCTCAACGCTGGTGACAAAACTGAGCCGGAAATACAGCGTGTGTCAACTAGTTGCACATGGTTCCACTTACCGGGCAGGTGCAATCATTAACATTACGGAGTGGTGAAACTTAGCTTATACGTGCTCCTGTGGAGCCCCAACATAGCTCATCACCATTTATCGGATTATGGATGAGGAATACGTTTTGTATCACTGCCGGACTTGGCTCAAGAAGCTAAACGCCCATTTCCAGAGTGCAAGGTCTGAGGACGCCAGAGGTGCTGCAATGTCGTAATGTTAGTTGTGGTTTATGAAAGTCCGGATTTGATGGTTACCTCTGTGTCCGCATGGTTTAAGTGTATACAGGGTGGGGCATGGGTGGGGCAGCATAATCGGGAATGCTTTTTGGGCTCTAATCATGAGTAGGCATGACATTATTTTGATAAATTATAGCATGGCAATGAAACGCCCAAAAGTTGTGCATCATCTAACATGACTACATCCATGAGCATGCAACCTCCTGGAAAAGAGCAGCAAAATAGTTCGACGGTGCTCCAAGTGCTCTGCGCGCGCCCATAGACACTAATGTTAAACGAGTAAAACAAGAACATTTTGTTGAAACCCCTGCAATTCCACGTAAAGGTTGCTGGACAGGTCAACGTGTTATCACGGACAATAAGGATTGTGTGGGAATACTTAGGACAAAAGGTTAACGTAATCGTCGTAAAATAACTCTTAGCAGAGGACATACAGATGACTCACTTGAATATAAGGAAGACGCTCTTGAGCATATTAAAAAGAAACAATGTTCAAAACTTCAGCGACCAAAAATCTCACCACCGACTGGAATACGACAAAAAAGAATGGCAAGCCATATAGGGGATTGTATCGAGAATATTCCAGCGGTCATGCAAAGTAAACATCCTGTTGGGGTGATGGACCTATGGGTGGTCTTCAAGGGAGGTGCACGTGGTGCACCCTACTTCATCGAGCCCAGATAAAATGAGCACCTCTGGTAAATACATCCGCACTGTGGCAGACTCATGTGGAGCCGTCGGAACAGAGGATCACTGACGGTCCAGATCACGTCTTACGAGGACTCTGTCCGTGCTGGTACTGCAGTGAGGACGTCATGTTATTGTGTAGGGCACCTCCACCTGAGATGAACCAAAAACTTCTGGTCCTTCAACTCCGCCGATTTAAATCCGACCAAATTCTTTACATGGAGCGTTTTTTGGTAGAAGGTTAATGAACAACTTATCATCAGTAAAGACGGTCTTCAGTGCAAGGTACGATGCTGATGGGCGATCATGGACAAGCAGGAGGTTGCACGTGCATGCGCGTGCTTTTGGACCCGCCTTGAGAAGGTCATCGACGCCGAGGGCGGTCACATAGGATGAGAGATAGGTAAAAGGTGACCAATTGATGGGATGTTGCTAAAATAGTGCTTGGAGCTGTATTTTTAAATTCATGACCAAATAATCCCGTTTGATATTTATTCCCGATTATGCTGCCCCACCCTGTACATATGCATTGTGCATTATACATTTATCATTCACCAGTATAACGCCTTATGGGGCGACTAACGGAGCGAGCGAGAGGGTGGGCCTTGCACGTGCGAAATTTCGAGGGGGTGCCTCCAACTGACTTGTGCACGGCACCCTACTAACCGGTCTCTAGCGACGTGCCAAATTTGAGCACAATCGGCCCAGCCGTTCTCGAGATCTGGAAGCGGCACCCTGCACGTGCGCACGTGCAAAATGGGTCCCAACTGACTTGTGCACGGCACCCTACTAACTGGTCCCTAACCGTGTACGAAATTTGAGCGCCATCGGTCCAGCCGTTCTCGAGATCTGGAAACGACCCCTGCACGTGCGCACGTGCAGCAGCACCCCAACCTTAACACATGCAGATGAATTATCTGATGGAGACCTAACTGTGTACCGAGTTTCAATTCAATCGGCCCAACCGTTGTGCCGTTATTGAGGTTGCAATTTTGGGGGTTCTTAAAAAATGTCCAACTTTACCACGCGCCACGTGCGGTGGTTGGCAAGAACGCATGGTGGCCATCACACCACAGAACTTTTACGTCCAAGTGACATTCAGTAAAGAAGACCGCTTGTCAATCGGATGTCCCGTTCCTAAGATATTAGCTTTTGAAGAGCGTCCCCACGGCCGGCCGGCCGGCCGCTCATACTCAGAAATTTCCGTTAATCTAAGGAAAGACTCCGCTCGCTTCGCTCGCTCCGTAATTAACGGCATCCTGTACGTGCCAGTAGATGTATGGTGTGCAAGTAAAATTATCAACCCTCTCAGTCAGTGTTTTGAAAACAAATTAGTGAACTAGCTAATCTTATCGTATATATCCTCCGTAACTTTACCGTTTAGCCTATTTACCGTTATATCGTAAACGGTACTAAATTTCATCCTGTATCTTTCGATCATTGGATCAACCCTGCACCTAAATCACTGGCAACATCCGGTAACTAGTAGTTAGAAAAGCAGCCGCTTTGCATTCGTAAACAGTAGCACAATCCAAACATAGTTCAATAATAAGTTACTTCTAGCGCCCGGCGCTGAACTGCAGCTATATTGGGCTGCACGGTCATAACAAATACGGTTTAACACCAGGCACAATGGCCCAGTCCCCTAGCTTTACACTGTTTGTTGCCATAGCAGCTGTGCCAAGTACAATAAAACCGGCTTCATACGGGCAATCACCGGGGTCGTGGGGTCAGCAACAATACACAAAGGCTCCCTATGGGCTCCCGGCCACCGGCAGAGCCGAGGAAAGGCAGAAACCAATGGAGGAAGGACGAATACGGATAAATCTGGATAGCGCTGAACTAAGCGTATTGGATCGGGATTGGAGCTGTTGATTGAACGAATCGGCACACAACAGAGCTATATGCATCAACAAACATGACTACTGGGGCATTAGGCAAGCATCAACGACGACCAGGTTTGCGTCAATCTTTTTACTTACATGCTGCATTTTCTGAGCAAACTGCTTCGAATTCCTTCTCAATCTGGAAAAATAGATCGTTGAGGCGAGATCTGAAAAGGAAACATTCGTTAAAGGTCGGCCTAAGCCAGCAAAAACAACAAATGGGTAGCATTCGCGCACAATCAAATAACACACTGGCGGCCGGTGCCACAAAGATTAGACGCTATTGAGAGGCGTCCCTTCGGAATCCTCTAAACGAGAAGTTCGTATTACTGACGTCGAGTGTCGCACATTCGTCGCCGTCTCACGACGACCACAGAACCAACTGGCCGAAACGTTGTTACTAACATCACATAGAACGGGACCGAAAGTCAAACAACTACTAGCATCTGTAATGTTGATCTCATAGCACATACTAACAGATAAGCGATAAGCATTCTAATGGATCGTATTTGCAGATAAATGGTAGCTAATGACAGAGGGCAGTTTCAGCCACTTAGCTGTACTTGAAAGATAACGTCAGCACATCGCATTCAATGGCCATGAACCAATGCACCAAACTGTGGTCGAGCACATCTTGACTTGTCTGGTCCAGTAGCACCCACTGCATCATGTCACATCTAGAACGATTCCTTTCATATACATATATGCAACATACGTCCCCCCCCCCTCACTAATGCATATCTTTAGAGGCCCGGTCGACCGACCGACTCAAAACATTTCACCAACAAATCTCCATGATTTAATCCACTTTCCATTCCACTCCCTTTCACATCCACCGCCTATTGCCTCCCTCCCCTCTGACCTCCTCTCCTCTCCCCGGCGGCCCCTCCCCTCCCTCTCCCTGGGAGCGCGCTCTCACCTGAGTCGGAGCGGCAGCGGCGACGGCTCCTGGTCGGCGTCGGCGCGTCCGTGGCTGCCGCTCACCGCCGGCTGCTCGGGCTCGTGATGGCGCATGCGCGGCATCGAGATCTTGAGCGAGCGCGGCGTCTTGGAGGCGGCCGGCGCGGCGGAGTGGGGCAGGTCCAGCGGCATGGCGCCGCCCGACAGCAGCTCTGCCGGCTCACAGCTGGGGGGAGACAGGGGGAACAGACGGTGAAATGGCGCCGCCACAGAGCAACTCGGCTGGCTCACAGCTGGGAGAGAGTGGGAGAGGGGTCATCATCATCATCATTTATTTCTTAAAGACTTCCACTCACCGTGGCTCTTACGTCTTTGCGTCAGTACACAGGAACACAGACGATTGAACTATGTATAGTTAAAACATGGTCGAGTTAAAACAAAGCGACATTAAAAACTCTAAAAAAAAATATATACACCTTTAAAAGAGCGCTATCACATATCATGCTCACCATCTAATCGGTTCTAGTAAAATGATCTCTAGCCATTCTGCGACACTTTGCGGCGGTGCTAGCTTCCCTGATTTCTGCGGGCGCGCTGTTCCACTGTGCCGCGGCTCGGGAGTTGAAAAACTTCCGAGCGTGCTCGGTGCGGACTCGCGGCAACTGCAGCTGACCGGCATCGGTCGCTCTCGTGTCTCGCACTGACACAGTATCGCGATACACAACGCGCTCACGCAGACTGGCCGGCGCTTGGTCGTTATACAGTATGCTGTGCATCATGGCCATGTCACGCTCAGCCACCAAAACATCCACGTTCGGCCAGCTCAATTCACTCAGTATCGCCGATACATGGGCAGATCGCGGAACACCCTTCACTATCTGCGCACAGTGGTTGATAACCTTTTGAATACGCTGCCTCTGAGTTGTCCCACATCCGGCCCAGACTGACATGCAATAAACTAAATGGGGAAAAACTAAAGATTCGATTATCATTTTCTTCACCTCCTCCGGGAGAGACCGCGCCAATTTTGCGAGACCTCCCATGGTAGCATAACAGCGACGAATAACGGTTGACACCTGAGCGTCAAATGACAGATTACTGTCCAGTGTCATACCGAGAACTTTGACAGCGGGTGACAGAGGAATTTCAGCATTGCCGAAATTGATCGTGAAGTTATGGTTCAGTTGACGCCTTTTGGACTTAATTAACACCAGATCTGTTTTTGTAGGATTAATTTTTAGGCTGTTTGCAGTGAACCATCGGTGAGCTGTGTTGACCGTGTGTTCCACTCTCTGCTGGAGATCCAAAATGTGACGCGGTTGACCCTGATGGAGAAACTGCACGTCGTCGGCGTACATTACAATTTTGCTATCCTCAAGGTATGACGGTAAATCGTTTGTAAAAATTAAAAACAAGATTGGCCCGATTAATGATCCCTGGATTACCCCATGAGTGATTTCTAGCAGTGTTTCCCCTCCCCTAGTCCTCTGAAAACGATTCTCAAGCCAGTTACTGAACCAGTGGTCCTGAATGCCATACCAGGCAAGTTTCTCTAGCAGTCTGGAATGTTGCACACTATCAAAAGCTTTTGATGTGTCAGCTGTTGTTAGGCACCCTATATATCCCTTATCCATGCCGTCCATGAGATATCCTACCGTGTCCAGCATCGCTGACTCTGTGCTCCGCCCCGGCCGAAAACCATGCTGAACATCAGTGAGAACCGAGTGTGCTATCAAATACTCCAATAGCTGGGAGCTGACGACACTTTCTACTAATTTTGCTACCACTGGAAGAATAGACACAGGCCGGTAGTTGTTAGGTTCCGAAGTGCTCCCGGACTTGTGGATGGGGACAACAGTGGCACGCTTCCATTCTCCCGGTAGTACACCCGACACAAGTGACGCGTTCACAACCTCGAGTACATGTGGTGCGATCACAGACCAAGTCATGCGTAACATGCCAATAGTCACTCCGTCCTCTCCACATGCCTTCGACGACGACGTCACAGTTGTAAGTAGCAGCTCTGGCAGCTCACAGCTGGAGGAAGACAGCTGAATAGAACAAATGGACAAACTGCACTCTCTGCAAGCAGCTCTGCTGGAGCATAGCTGAGAGACACAACGAAAATAGATGGTAACAGCAACTCCACTGGCTGAATGGCTTGGGAAGACAGACAGAGAAAATGGTCACATAATACTCTCTGCGAACAGCTCAGCTGGCAGATGGTCGCATGGTGCTCCCCGCTACCAGCTTAGCAGGTTTACATCTGGGGAGACACGGCACATTCTCACATGGTGTGAGAGGCGATGAGTCTAGGACGAGTTGGGGTGTTTGGCACCCCCCCCCCAGACTGCTCACTGCTCAGTGCCCAAGAGCTAATGAGAGCAGGGGAGTTAACTTAAGGCAGCATGAACAGGGATGGAAGAGACTGATCTATGTGGAGTGAGCATGACTGAGTTGTGACTGTCGAAGCAAGTGAGCATCACCGACATGCAATGAGTGTTTAATTTGGCAGTGCAAGCTTTGGTTCAGCAAATGCTAAATTAAACTAATTAGGTACTTTGATTTGGAATTGAAACCAGAATTACAGAACACATGTTGTGTCTGTAGGGATTGGAGATTGGGAGATGGAGTTAGTGAAACTTCCAGCAGGATCATAAATGGGTACACATATTAATCAGATATAACACATGATGATATCATCCATTCTCTTTAAAGTCACTGGTGTTTCTCCCATAAATATGGGCATCATAACAAATTATGTGACCTTAGAATTATCATCATTTATAACACCTCATCTACCTATCTAACATAAATTAGATTTGGCACTATACCAAAGCTATACCCAAAAACAAACAGAATGCCTTATTTTATAATAGGTAGGTGGTGGCCACTTTCTATTTTTTCCTCCTGGCCATAGGAATTTCTATTTGTTATGCATTTGATTTAGCAAACATTGTATTTGCAAATTAACTGCATGCCACCAAACAAAATGCATATTGCATACCAGCTATTTCCAAAATCTTATCAACCTAGCTCACCAATCAATTTCACTATGGAAATATATGACTTTAGGCATCCCGGCAAAACACAGAAGACAGAGGAAAAATTTAAAGCAGGGGACAAAACAAAACCTTCAACTAAGGACATCTGTACCTATATGACTAGTCCTGAGAAATAATTGTAAAACACAAAAGAAGCTCAACTTATTTAATGGATCATCAATTAATTTTAGAGATGAATGCCCTTTGATCAAGTTTTCATTAAATCACAAAGCAGTCAATACCATTCACTGTAGGGTAAAATATAGGCTGAGACATGTTATGTGAAATTCACATATTGTCAGCTTTTAACAAATGAACAGATTTATCAAGTCTTTATTGACAGTCTTCATAACAGTCTTTATTAAGTTGTGGTAAGTCAAACACCAGTGAAGTTCTTCTCAAGTGCAACCAATCTATTATGCCCCACAAAAACGTGAGTGAGCATTGCACATCAAAGCCTGCAAGTCAATTGAAAAAAAGTTTCAGGAAGGTAAGTCACACAAGAAAATACATAGACACAGCATACATCCCACAACTGACGGTACCACATAAGGCAGCTTTTGATAAGTCTACCTTACAGACACCCATATATGTTAACTGTGAAACACATCATGGATCAGGAATTCACACATCAACATCACCCTGAGTGTGAATATTAGTAAGCTTTAACCTATTGTTAAACCTATCATGATTAATGATAAGAAATGCCAATATCGCCACTTGATCTTGCAGTGCAATTTTAACATCACTCCGCAGTGGCACTGGCAGACGGCAGTAGTAAATCTTGTCAATATTCTACCTTTAAGATGTTGCAAATATTATCATTTTCTTGTACTTCATCCACTCAAGTGTTTTTTCACTTTTCGTTTTTACTTATCCTTATTTTTCAAAGTGCCAAAACATTGCGGTGTGATAACAATAATGGAAAAAGTAACCCTACTAGTGATTCCAAAACAGGCCCAACATCCAATCCTTTCAGACTTTTAATGTTGTGCTTTATAATGAAAATGCAACCCATATGAAAACTTGAAAACCCAACACCAAATCGGCACCACACTCTCTCACCATTCTTTGTTCAAACATAGGGTAGTTGCAGTCAGTAAATGCACTGCTACACCCAGAGTTAATTTACCTTTTGAAAATTGCAGTTAGAAGTGGTCAAATAACTGACTTGTATATTCTAAATTACCTAATAATCCACCCTCTCACTGACTCATCACTTCAACAACTTCGACTTCCTTTTCTCGTTGCCCACTGAACCAAAACAAACCCCGTGACAAAAAACGACGCATAAGCGGACCAATTTCGCCTCACGACAGTGCTACCATTTCAGTCTCGGCTACCATATTCAGTAGGGGGATTTAGATGGACGAAGGAACTCTTGGAAGGAACGCCTGACACGCGAAATGCAAATAGCTCGCGCAGGATATTTGGAAAATGTTAGCCACGCTTCACGAATTCTACGATCATATGCGCAGCTCAGGCAGGCGTGTATAGTTACAAACATTATTTGACTGAGCCGAAGTCATTCTGAGTGTCTGCAGCCGCAGAACTCGAACAGAGCCCCAGGCTGAGCCAGCGGACAAGAGCTGTGATCGGCTAACAGCTTCAGCATCGTATTGCTTTGCTTTCATTTCAGCAATTCTCTGTCAGGGTTTCATATTGTTTGAAATTGTAAGAAGGAATGCTGCTACCCAAAAACCATTACCGGTCCTAATGAATCAGTAGGTACGTACGTACCTACCTATCGGTAGAACCCATCGAAGGAATGCGTGTGGTGTGTATGTGGGGGGGGGGGGGGGCTAAGAGCGGATTGACTTGCCCCCCCCCCTCCACACACACACACACACGCACTATGATGGTAGGTACTGTCGGCTTCTATCCTCATCAGAGTTACGTCGCTTCTTTGCCGAGCCTGCATCCGCGAAGGCCATGCAAAACACCGCTCGTACCGCGCTGACAGCGAACACACGTCACATGACAGCACTGATTGGTCAATGACCATTGGCCACCGATACCGAGTAACGATATAAACCTCACTCCCTTTGTGCATTCGTAAGTTTTACCACCCCGCCTTTCACCGCTCAATGCCGCCTCACTTTTTCCATTGGTTGCATTAGCAGCGACGAGCACTATACCTAAACGCGACAGCGAGTATACGGCCAAGCGCTCGAGAAACCCA